AGGAAGGAAGGAAGGAAGGAAGGAAGGAAGGAAGGAAGGAAGGAAGGAAGGAAGGAAGGAAGGAAGGAAGGAAGGTGGTGGAAATTTAAGACACTCCTACCTTCAGTTTCTGATCATTTCAGCAGCCGGTAAGTGCACAGCCAGAGCTGCTAAATTGGGACAGTATTTGGATATACCATGCATGGCATTCCTGACACCCCAGGTAGGTGAAGTCTAAAGTTACCCAATAGAACCCTCCTTTCACAAAGACTTAGAAACACTTGCACCATATTTTCACAAGGATACAACCTAGAATTAAATCATTGTCTCCATACTGTTAGCTACTTGGGGTATTCAGTAAATTGTTTTTCAGTAAGTATGTATTAACAAAGGGGGTATGACTATTTCTTTAGGTGAGAAGCTATGAGAACTGCCAATAATCAATACTATTTATATCAAACACTGGGTACTTTCAAGTTAATTCAGGAAAGAAAACAAAATTATTATTTATAAACTCATGATATTCAATTCACACTAGGATTTTTTTTTAAACTTTCTATGATGGGTTACATGAAAATCTCATGGTGTTTCCAGCAGCCAATTTCTAGACAGTTTCAAAAGTGTTCATAGAATATACTCTTCAAATTGTGATAGTTTAAAACAAAATTGCCCACCTTTTAAATGTACTTTTCTGAAATCCTGAAAGTGTAATATGTTAAGATATGAATATATAATGTTGGCTTGAAAGAAAGGTTTAAAAAAAAAAACCCAGTATTTTATCTGGGTTACTCACTAATGGCAATCATTAATTTGTGAAGTTCTGTTATCACAGTGATGTTTTATGTGTTAGAAGATTTCAAAACGCAAAGAGAAACATAGTTTTGTGTGAGATTCCCAAAGCACTGTCAAATGCTCTTCTGTCACTTCCACCCAGTGCCAAAAAGACCTCGGGAGACATGGATTGTAAATGTAGTTTATTTTGTAAGCAACAATCAAAATATATTTGTGCTACTGATTTTTTCAAATAGTAAATGGGATCTTAACAAAATGTGTCCACTTTGATGTATTCCTGACAACTTTGGAGTCTGCAGAGCCCTGACTAACTAAGCAGAAGCCGCCGCAGAACTGAGATGGAAGGTGGCTCAGGTGACTGGCAGGCCACCACATCACCTGCAGAGCGCCCGTGACTGTGAGCACTAGAACAATGAAGGAAAATATATTGAGAGTGTCACTGACAGCTCTCTACGTTGCTTTATTTAAACACAACAGTATCCAACATTGCTGCCAAACACTGGACAATATTTGAAGTCATAAGCACATCCACATGTTCTTCCAAATGACGTTTGGGATCCTAAAAGAAGAAAAAAGTAAAAGAAGAAAAAGATAGCTGTATTACCAGTAAACTTTTTTTCAAGAGCAGATTAAATTAGTAATGATGTCTAAATTTATACATATTTTATCATTCAGCTTTTCCAATACATTGTTACGTTCTTGAGGTTTCTAAATTTGTTAAAAAGAAACTAAAAAATTACCCAATAAGACTGATTTGTACAATCAATGCTAGTTATAGATATGTACCAGATTTTCATAAAGGGTAACAGTTTGTAAAACTCACAATCACCTGATTTTTAAAAAGGTCCATTTATGCATGTGTATGTGCCTGAGTAGTATGTGTACTCTGTCATTAACGTATTTTAATGTCTGATGCTTAAATAAAGCATCATGAATTCTGTAAAATCTTAGTATTTTCAGAAAATGATTCAGAAATATTCTTGGATCAAAAGGTACTGTAACTGAAAAATGTAAATATAATTTGGAATAATTCTAAAATGTTAAGAATGCTTCATCCAGTGATTCTGAGAAACTGTATCACTGGAACTTAAACAGGCATGACTATTAAACCTGATCAGATCCATTTTGAAATAAGTCAGGTTAAAGATGAAACTTAAAGTTGCACTATAATTAAAAAAATTAAATGTTTACTTATGTTTAAGGACAAATAAGTTATTTCAGCTAAATTTGAAAGTTTAAAAGAAGATAAATATTACATGCAATAAATGATTTTAAAGTATTATTTTCTTACACATGTTTTAAAATACCCAAGATTCATAACTTTACACAAGTCTTCTTCCCTGGCTTGTGTAACTCTTAGCTCTGCTTTTCTTATTCATAATTTCCATACACTAATTTCTAACAACTGAGAGAACAATCCTACAAGTAAAACAAATGACTAGACTATAGTACTATTATTTAGGGGTTAACCCTGAACACATTTCAGGTGAAGGCACTAGGAAAGACCAGCAGAAGAAAAGAAAGCCTATGACAGAGTTACCACATTTAACACATGGTACCTTGCTCAGGCCTGAAATCCCAGCACCTGGGCAAGCAGAGGCAGGAAATCTCTGCAACTTTGATGCCAGCCTGATCTACATAGTGAGTTCTAGGACACCAGGGCTACAGAGTGAGACCCTGTCTAAAACAAAACAAAAACCATGATTCTGATGATGATTTCTTTCTTTCTTTTTTTTTTTTCTTAATCTTTTTCTTTTTTCTTTTTTTGCTCTCTCTCTATAGACCAGGCTGGCCTCAAACTCAGAAATCCAGCTGCCTGGGTCTCCCAAGTGCTGGGATTAAAGGTGTACACCACCACAACCTGGTGATCCTGATGTTTTCTAAACCTCATCAATTACATGTTTTCCAGTTTCATTTTAATTTAGTCCTTTCAGTTTCCTGTGGGCCATTAAAGAAAATATATAAAAACGATAGCCTCAGAAAGTAATTTATTTAGTGAGTTCTAGAAAGGGTAATGCTCCCAAATGGTAATCTAACATATTAGGTGAAAATAAGCAGTAGAAAATGAAAACAAGGCTGATATCATACAAACTGGAAATGAAGATGAACTTTATTTTAGTTTGGTTTGAGGGTACTCATTTTTAAAATGTAATAATTAGAATGTACTCATATTTGTGTTCCTCCTTTATAATTTATGATAAAGTCAGACCTTTGCCCCTACTACTCTGCTGGATTAATTGGTTTTACAGTGAATCGGTAACTCATTTATCAGTTATCTACATTCCTTGTGGCAGCTGGGTGATTCTTAGAGATTTCCCATCCAAGAATGGTCCTGGCCCAAACCTACATAGCTTGTGAGATGTGATGGGATCAGAGCATATGGTAGGATGGCTGAAAGCAAAGACAGCTTAGTGTCTTGCATCTGAAATATCAAGATTCTGCCAACATCAGCAATATGATAACCATGTTCCATGAAATGGGGAAAAATGTAATCAACATTCTTTAGAAAAACAGTCTAATTAATCTGTAGATTCTTTTAATTGCTGGGTGTGTTCCCTCATCCTCTGATAACCAGGTTTAAATATATATTTCATCTTAGAAAAGCAAAAGAATCACTATTTAAACCCCTCTCACAGTGTAGTCAATAGAATCCTAAACTTTCTCAGGGTATCAGCTATGCAGTAACAAAATGGATCTTTAAAAAAGGTTACATATTAAGCAAATCTGCAGGGAATACTACCTACTTATTGATAAATGTATCATTAAGAAAATGGTTATTAGTTAAATAAATCTACCATCCTTTTTATTTTACCTCATCTACAGTAAAATAATCTCAGGACTCAAGTGTCCTCTATTTTTAGTATACTATTTTCACTAAGGAGCGTAGGTAATAGGTAGAAATTTACGATTTATTCTCTACAGACAGCAAAGAGAATTTGATATCTAATAAATATAGTGGCCTTTAAATTTTACTATGTTTAAATGAAAGAAAAAAGATGTAGTATAAACAGACAAGAAAAAAATGATCGTCCCTACAGTAGTCTGAGTGCTCCAAGAGCACGTTAGCATGCGACTGTCTAACCCATCACAGTCTCCTCACCTGCTTGCCAACATTCTTTATTGCCAGCTGTTCAGGTGTCATCTTATCTTCTTCTTCCACAGCCTGTGAATGAACACAAAGGACAGACTTCAAATTCTCTATCTGCTTTTCCCATAGAAGAACCACCACCAAAGCAAAGGTGATCCTAATTTTCATTCAGAGGAAACTTTTATTCAAACAATTTGTTTTTGTTTTTTTGTTTTTTTGTTAAAAAAAAAACACTCTTGTTAATCCAGAACAATCTTCTTGGTTACGAAACTATTACCACCATCATTTAGAAACACTTAAGAAATAAACAATACCAGACAATATCACACTGGATCACTAAATGGCATTAAAGAGATGGGGAGACAGGAGCCTGGGGTAGCCTCTTTGCTACTAAATTCCCCCTTTTCTCCTCCCACCAGCCCACAATAGCTTCCCCCTTCAAGTTCTCATTTCTCCTTTATTTCTTTTGCCAATCTAGCCCATGTGTGTCTAGTACCTATTTAATATCATTAAGGATCAAAAGATCTGTTAAGTTTTGATCTAATACATGTCATCATAAGTTAATCTCTATACATCTTTAAATCTCTACAATATACATTAGGAAAAAACTCACAATTCCATATGAAGTAACCTTAAGAAATAATTTCAAGTTTTTTAACATAAAATTAATAACAGAAATCAAAAACCAAACGAACAGCACATGAAAATCATTTTCTATAGAGTTAACTACAAACTCTTTGTGACTTTTCATAAGCTTTCTAGTAGACAAACAAAACAACAACAACAAAAACCCTCACAATAATTAGAACATTCAGGCTAGAATTGCAACCTTGCCATCTCAATAACAGCATCCCACAAACCTCTTCACAGAGCATTCCAACATGAAGAAGTCTGCGTTTAGAGAGTGAGGGTATATTAGAGCCTAAAGACAGAACCTGCACTTGGTGAACTTGTGGTCTATAATTTATTCATGGCATCTGATAAACAGAAGATGAAGAAACTTCATGATCATCAACCTCCAAAAATGCTACCAAAGCATTTGCCACAAAAGAGGTGAAACAGTAATGTCAGAAAACAGAAAACCTAAATCCCAGCGAGGATTAGATTTGGACACTCTAAACTTAATAATCTCACAGCTGCCAAATTTCTTCATGTGTGAACAATGAACATGTAGGAAATGCAATCATCAGACATTTCCCATAAACTGGGAAGTTTGGCTGTATTTCACACCTTCTTAATAGTTTTGTAAACAGAGAACTTGAAAATGAGCAAAGATGGCAAGTGTCTAATTTTATAAATGGACAAACTATCTAGAGAATTTTCGCCAGTAGAACCTGCCTAAAGAGAAAAGACGGTGACTATCTCTTGTGTCTGCTGGTTACTGGAGGGTGCTTATTTGTAACATATTAGGAATTACATTCAAATCTGAAAGCAGGAAAGAATAAAAGTCACAAACACTCCAACTAGAATTCCCCAGACAGAGAATATGTTCATTTTCGAAGTCAGATGTCACTCTATTAGTCTCCGCTAGTTATGAAAGTATTTCTAACTAGGAAACTGCTTTTCCTACTTTTCAAAGTCTTACAAAAATAGCACTGAAAGGCAATATAGTTTATCTTCCTAGATTACTTTCACAATTGTGACACTGTATTGCTGACTTGAAAGCATGTTAGCTGAATGGAACAATTCTCCTAAGTGTGTACTCCATCCCCATTCAATGCTAACTGTTCTACACACATGGCAATAACCGTACTTACTACAGTACTAGAAGGAGACAAGAGTTTTTGGAATTTGGCTCAAAATACCAATCCACATATAAATAATCATTAGAGAATATCTTGGATTAATGCAAGAATCAAAGATGCCAAATATACAAACATGAAAGTCAAAAGCACTTAAAGCTTTTTAATATTATTTGAAAGGACAAATAGGATATAAAAAGCACTGATAAAAATGTTAAAATCTTGTACAACATTTAGCCACTTTACCAATTAGTTTTTCCATCCCCAATAATTAAAGAGAGTTCACAAACTCTTTGAGAAGTGCAGATGGTAAAAAGTACTCCCAGCCATGGGTGCCATCTGGGAGAGGAGGAGCAGCTGCAGATTCAGGCATACACTAAGGTTGCAAACCCCCACGACAGGAGATGTAAGCACATCCCTTCCAGTATAAGACAGACCAGGTCATGCCATCCAAGTCCTCAGGATTGTCTCCCTACCTAAGTTACCTAGATCTCATCTACCATCTGGGCAAGACCAGTCTGTCTTCACTCACAGTTCTAATCTGGCTAGTCCCCAGGAAAAATTAAGAAATGGTAGCAGCAGAAACAAATGAAATTCAGGCACAGGCAGTGTCCTCACTAGGGAACTTCTGTGTTTATGGCAACTTCTGTGATTTGGCTTCAAAATTTGCTTTTGCATTCGTGCTCTTCGGTTTACTCAACCAACAAAAAAGCACTGAAAATGTTTGTGGCTATTCACACTAGAAACGTTTTTAACAGTTTATCAACAAAGACCCCCAGATGGCTATCCCATCATGCACGGTCTGCACAGTTCTAAGAATTTCTTGGAATTTGGTCTGTTATGTGATCGTAATCCCCTCAAATGTACCCTCTATCTTAAAGAGACTTTTACTAAACCCATTAACATTGTTCTCTTTTTTTCTACTAATGATCAAAATGTTCAAATGAACAGTATCTCAAATTCCATCATTATTTATCTTTTAATCTAGACTGGACCTGGACCTTTGGCATGTCTCTAGCATTCTTTGACAGACACCCACAGAACAACTCCAGTTTTCTGAACACCTGCACAATTAATTACCCCAACACCTGTTTTCTCTCCCGTCCCTTAACCGCTGTTTTTAACATCTCTTATTCCATAAATACCTCTGAATAACCCTTTTTTCTTTACTGACATTCTTTCTTCATTCTAGAACATGCTAAAATTTCATTTAAGTACATGCGTTCAAACAACATCAATAGAGCAATTTATTTTTAATGTAACAAAAGACAAAAAAAGCTGCTAGAATGGTATACACTATGTTTTCACCAGTAAACCACCTCTGTGTAACTGCTAAGTGTTTATTTCTTGTGATTTTTAAATTTATTTTTCATAGTGAATACAACTAAAACAACACTACGGATTACAGAGGTAGGAAGTCTAAATAAATGATTTTTACAAAATATATTTTGGAGAAAGCAAAATGAACAAACATGAAGCAATTTGTAAAACTTCCTAAGATAGAAGAGACTTGAATATAAAGGACAATAAAACTTCTGACTACTATCAACACTAAATTGCAGCGTATGTATGTGGGTATGTATGTATGTATGTATGTATGTATGTATGTATGTATGTATGTGTCTCACTAAGTAGCTCTGGCTGCCCTGGAACTCACTATGTAGATAGATCAAGCTGGCCTCAAATTCACGAGACCCACCTCCCTCTGCTTCCCAAATGATGGTATTAATGGCTTGCGCCAGCACTGCCCAACCTCATAGCAACATGTATAACTAGGGAAACTCATGTCTTTAGATGGTATATCACCAATAGTAATAAAGGCAAATACATGATTTACCAGACAACCACAAACAGAGATAGATCCTTTGCAAAAAAAAATCTTAACAGGGAATCCAATTTTAAAGCATAATAAGATCAAATAAGGGATATAAAATAAAGATCACATGAGTATGTAAACATTGGCATGTGTAACAGCAACTTGCAATTCAGCTTTTTGAAAGATATAGGGGGTTCTGGTAAGCCTAGGATGGTAGACGCATACCTTTGATCCTAGCATTTAGAAGGCAGAGGGAGGAGGTTCTCTGAAAGTTCAAGGCCAGCTTCCTCTAGATAATAAGTCCCAGGCAGGGCTCTGTTGAGAGACTTTGCACACAAAAAAAGAAGAAGAAAAGAAAGGAAGGAAGGAAAGGGAAGGAAGGAAGGAAGGAAGGAAGGAAGGAAGGAAGGAAGGAAGGAAGGAAGGAAGGAAGGAAGGAAGGAAAGTTTCTGGTAGTATCTGCTTAAGACCAATATCCATTTTCCTCTCTTTTATCACATAACTGATTTTCCTACAGGCATCAATGATCTCAGCTACAAGACTACATTACACAGCTTTCTCTGCTGCCAGGTGTGCTCACTGGGCCATGTTCTGCCAACGAGAGACACTCACTCAGACTTGCTGGCTAGACTGCACAACGGCTCCTAGTAGGATTCATCCCTTTGGTTTTCCTTTTCTCCAGCTGTATCACACTTAGGTTTAGCAACTGCACTGTACCTTAAGATGACTTAAGAGATGGATGTCAATAAAATGAAAGTAGAGCAGAAAGACAGAAGGAATCAGAATCTGAATCTCAAGTTTCAAACTGGCCTTAAAGTGTAAGAGACAGAACTTCATTTAAGCAATTGCTATTTTGAGTTAACATGACATTAGAAGTTAAAAAAAAATCAGGAGTTACATTTAAGTGTAGAATTTCCTATCTCCTATCTTAAAGATGACAATGTTACTAAAACAATGTTGACATATGACATATATTTAAAATGAACATCACTTCCAAGGGACTGGAGAGATGACTCAGCTGTTAAAAGCCCTTCTAGCCTTCCAGAGGACTTTCAGTTCCCAGCACACACACAGTTCACAATCTTCTGTACCTCCAGATCCAGGGGATCTAATGCCCTCTTCTGGTCTTCTTGGGCATGCACATGGTAAACACACATACATGTAATGCACATTATGCATATACATACATACTCATACACATAAAATACAACCTGTAAAATATTATAGACCACTCCCACTGGTAGTATGTTTCATAAACTTTTAATACTGAAAGTTATGTCTAATGTCAGGTTTTGTTCTTTAATAGGGTAGAAACTTTCTCATGCTAAATAACCAATTTTTCCTAATTCTTTTGACTATTGGCTTTAAAAAGCATTGTAACCACCTATAACATTCTTGACATAACTGTCCTTAAAGTTATCTCTTTATTCTCCTGGGTTCCTGTTTGACTGCAAATAATCTATCATATTACATTCAAATAATGATGATTTGACTCATTTTCCTCAATACTGACTGACATCTTGTTTTTCTTATCTAATTATATGAGCACAAAAATTTTCTACTTAATAAATATACTGTAGCAAACCAAATATATTTAGTTTATATGAATTAATATAAAAATAACTCATCTAAAGAGTAAACTGTCAAGTCTTAGAATTTATAGAGCTATATGCTTTAAAAGGCAAGATTTTTGTTTCAGTGTTTTGTTTTGTTTTGTTTCTCTCGAGACAAGGTTTCTCTGTGTAACAGCCCTGGCTATACTGGAATTCAGTCTGTAGATCAGGCTGGCCTCGAACTCACTGAGATCTGCCTGCCTCTTCTTCTGAGTGCTGGGATTAAAAGTGTGCACCACCACGCCTGGCTTCTGTTATTCTTAAAATGATCTTTTACAATACATTTTTTCACCTATAGGTTCATTTACAAATATGTAATGAAACATTAGCAGTTTTACAATCTAGCAGCAGCATTTTAGTCTCCACAGATAGGGGTTTGGAACACAATGCTGCGGTGGCACAGCTCAGTAATTAGAAAAACAAATGAGTAATAATCAAGCACAACTCCCATGTGGAATTCAGACCATAAGAATCTAATTATCTTCAAACTCTTTTTACTTTAGGACCTGACTGGCATCTAACAATAATTACCTTAGTTTAAAAAACCAACCAATTAAAAAGAATGCCATGAAGAACTGTGGTAGCACGGGCCTTTCCTTGTGTATTTTAAGTGTTACTATAAAAACCTCACCGTTTTCTTTCAATCATAGAGGGAATTACATTCCCAAATTGGACTCATCATATCACAGCTTACACACTGTTTTCATTTTTTAACTAAACCTTACAAGATTTTTAGTGCTACAGAGATTTTTTAAACTGTAATATAGGAAAAAAACTTCTATGGATGGGCAGCAGTAACCATAAATAGGTTATTTCCTGGCAGAAGGAAATATGAATTTACTTAAATGTAATGTTACAGAGAAATAACCATTCCTCCAGTCCGCTGAATAACAACTTGTTCTAACTTTTTTAAAACAATAAAAGGTTAACTATCTTAAATGATAAACTACTTCTTTCTCTCTGTATCATCCCCACAGCATGAAAGCAACACTAGGGGGGAAAAAAACAAACAACTCATTTACCGGGGGTTCCGGCTGAAATGTGATGGGGGTTCCAGCTGAAATGTTATACTCTAGAGTATGCTCGTCAAAACCCAACCTAAGTGCTAGAATTAAGTTTTGAAGACCCCATTACCTTTATTTCAAAGCTTAGTTCTTTCAAATGATTTGCTGTTTACATTTGGTGAAGCTTACACACTGTCTCTTAAATAGTATTTTTTTTAATATGCTATAGTACTTAAAAACAGAAATATTACTTTCTGGTATGACAATCATCAGTCTTTTGTTTTGTTTTTAGTTTTTTGAGACAGGGTTTCTATGTGTAGCCTTGACTGTCCTGGAACTCAAGGAGATCCACCTGCTTCAGCCTCCCAAGTGCTGGGGATTCAAGGTGTGCACCACCTTACAATAATCAGTCTTAACTATGACTCCTCAATCTTGAATTCCAGACCTTACCATTAATTTTCTTTTCTTTCCATTTGTTTGTTTTTCAAGATAGGGTTTCCCTGTGTAGCCCTGGATGTCCTGTAACTTGCTCTGTAGACCAGGCTAGCCTCAAACTCAGAGATCCATATACCTCTGCCTCCCCAGTGCTGGGATTAAAGGCAAGCACCACTACTGCTCAGCATCATTAATTTTTAATTCCACTTCAAAGTGTTTAAAAACTGTAGCTTTGGATTTTTATATATGTGTATCTTTGCGAGAGCAGAGATTGGGGATAGGCCATGGAACTAGACAGGGAGCTGTGAGAGGGAACACAGCAGGCAGTGGACAGGGAGGGGCATGAGAACACGTGACATCGAGTGGAAAGAAGGAACACTGCAGCGGCAGGGCACAGGCTCGGGTACAGGAAGGGGAGAGTCCACCAAAACCAACTATGGATAAAATACCACAAGGAGACCTGTCATTTTCAATGTCCAGCTTCTACAAAATACACTTTCTTCATTCCTTTTTCTATCTACACTGAAAAGGTTACTGCTACCAACATACTTCTTAATCACATAGGCAGGAAATGTTAAATTCATCAATTTTCTCTTTTCACAGAATCCAACCAGTAATGCCTCCCTCCATTCCCACTGCACTACACAACACAGTTATGTAGTGTGACTCCCAATCAAATCTCCTCTTACTGTTCCTAAAGTCAGGCTCTAGTTATGCCATGCCTCTGCTCAAAACTAACTCTGTAACTTCCTCCTATTCCTCATATACACTCTAGCCACAGATACCGTTTCCTAAATATATCCTATGCCTTTTCTTTTTCCCAGCCTCTCCTACCACCAGCTTCGAGACTCTGAAAGCCATGATTTCATACTTTCTACTCCCGAGTTTGGGCTTTTTAGACTTCACATACTTGTGAGGAATTATCTTTATGTGTCTAGTTTATTCCATTTAACCATGTCTTCTAGGCTCACAGTGTTCCAACGACAGATTTCTTTCTTTTTAAAGATTGAACAGTACTGTATTGTGAACACACACACAGACACATACACACAGATCATATATGCATTTGTTGCTGGACACTAGGTGACTCTGTGTCTTGGCAATTATGAATATTGGTCAGCAAGCCTGTCTCTACCTATGCAGCACTGGCATCAACAAAGCTTCCTTTCATGGGGTAGGATGTAACTCAGGCCTTTACAGACTGAGCCATCCCCCAACCCAATAACCACATACATTTTACCATATAAATATTTTGAGGGGATTGTGCATAATGAACTTTTCAATGGCCCACATAAAGTCAGCCTCCCCTAGTCACTGCTCTTTCTCCATAGCTCTAACTATGAGGACTATGCTGTCTTTGTTTACGTTCTCTTACAGAAAGTAAGCTCTCTGGGCAGGAGGGACTTTTAATGTCTAACTTTTTAGCATGTCCCAGTGCCTTGCACATAGTAGGTTTTCAGTAAGTACTGATTAAATGAAAAGTGTAAAAGTTCATTAAATGAATTATATGTAGCAAAGAAAAAAATTCTTTTTTAATTTTTGGAGACAGGGTTTCTCTATGTAGCCTTGGCTGTCCTGGAACTCGCTTTGTAGACCAGGCTGGCCTCAAACTCAAAGATCTGCCTGCCTCTGCCTCCTCAGTGCTAGGATTAAAGGTGTATACCACCATGCCTGGCTTATTTTTTATTTATATGTATGTGTATTTACATGTGTATGCCATGTGTCAAATCCTCTGGAGCTGGAGTTACAGGCAGTAGTCAGCTACCTAACATGGGTGCTGGGAAGCACTCAGGTTCTAAGAACAGCAAGGTCTGTTAACTACTAAAACATCTTGCTAGCAACTCAGCAGCCTATGTGAAAAGAACCCAGTTGCCTTGCTTACATATTTTCTATGGCTGCATTTGCATAATGGTGGTAGGCTTTAGAAAGAGACTAGATTGCCTATACATCAAGTATTTATTTTCTAACCTACAAAACAGGTCTATTTTTAATTATTTATTTTATATAACTACTTGGTACCTAATTATATGCATTTTAAAGTTATGAAGAAAACAAATGATTTTTACCTTATTATAATTCTTGGCTAATTCCAACATCTCTTTTACCACTGATTCATTGTGTTTACAATGTTCACTGTAGTCTTGAAGTGTCAATCCTTCCATCCAACTCTTCTTATGCAAATTTAACAGCATCTAAAAACATAAGGAAAAGGAAATTATTTTGCTGCCTTAAAAATATTACCTGTCTTGAGAAAAAAGCTTCACAAAAATTAATGAATTTAAATTTAATTTTATTCATTCAAATAAGCACCAACTGGAGATATCCTAAATTTATATTAATATATTAATACCTCGGTACTCCAAATCCATGCCCTCTGCCCTTGGTCCTGACCTATTTTCATCTTTGTGTGACTTACACTCACTCGTCCTCTCTATTAGAGACAGGTGCCCTTCCTAATACACTGACTGAAAAAACCATCTCACAGTTTTAACAAGATCTTTCTTCCCTTGTCCTGCCTGCTATGTTGCTTTTATTGTGTCTATGAACATTTTTTTCTTTACTTTATCCAGTTATATTTATGATTCCCAGGGTCTAGCTAGATTCTAAAATATCTAACCACAGCAGGAAAAAAAAGAGAAGAAAAGAATGAATCAAAGGATTCATTGAACTCTCGTATTACACACAGGTTCGCTTTAAAAACTTAATATTGACTTGTTGACAGGATTGAAAAAACAAAACTAGGAAAAATATCACAGACATGTTTAATTTTCAAACACACCCACAAACTGGGCCTTGGCTACCAGCTAAGAATCTAAACAACTTAGTTCCCAAATTGGACTTAAGTTCAAACATGTAAAGAATGTATTTGTGTGCACATGCATATTTGGGGTGTGGAGGGATAATCACACTATGTAGTCCAGGCTGGCTTCAAACTCACAAGCTTCCTGATTTGATTCAGTCACCGGAAAGGCGAGGACTCCTCAGCTGCCTTACAGATTTACAATTTTCTTTGCCTATGTCTATTTATTTTTTGGGTGAGCACACATGCCACAGCACACACGTGAAGGTCAGAGAAAAACTTGAAGGAGTCAGCCCTACCCCTCTATCACATGGGTCCCAGGTACTGAACTCTGATCACCCTGTTTGGAATGAAGCACCTATGCCTGCTGAGCTATCTCACCTGCCTAAGTTCATTTTCGTGTGTGTGTGTGTGTGTGTGTGTGTGTGTGTGTGTGTGTGTGTGTGTTTCCCTGACTATCCTCCTTAATTTTTCATAAGATTTACTACGTTTTAAAAAATCTATTTATATGTAATTATGTGCATGTGCCTGGAGAGGGAGCTACAGTTACAAGCAGTTGTAGCAGCCTGATGTGGCTGCTGGGAACCAAACTCTGGTCCTCTCTAAGGGCAGCACCATTGAGCCATCTCTCTATGCACAGTTTTACAATTGTTAGATAATTTTCTTCAAAGTTATACTCAAGAATTTGCCTTCAATTAAGTACCACCACTGAATTCAAGTTACTTTTTTCTTTTGATAATTGAATACATTATGAAATGTGAGGAAAACATCACAGCAACAGACTGCTTGATGCTCTTGAGCCACTACAACCACAGTCGTCCATGTTAAGGGTCAGGACTACATTCCAGTGTAGAGGACTTGTCTAGCACGCACAAGGCCCTGCCTTGAATCCGGACAACAGACAGGCAGACACCCCCAACAAATATAAACAAAAGACCCCACAGTGTACTTTAAATTGCTCAATCACAAAAATCACAGTATCTAACTTCTGGAATTATATGGTTTGCTCTTTTATTTTTCAATTACACTGCTTCCAGGTTTGCAGCTACTTCGGATAGACGTGCAGAGTCTATTTTCTGCTAGAAAGTAAGTCACATGTCAAAATCACTATGGGGCTTCTTAAGATAAGAGTTCCCTCATCCCCTTCCTTCAGTCTCAGGGGCAAGAACAAAATAGGTTAAACAGAAAACAAAAACAAAAACAGAATAAAACACACAAAACCAACCTCAGAATATTATGCCAGGTAATTCCAATTTCTTCGCCTACTTTCCATCTTCCCTACATCCCAGCTGATCGCACCACAGGTTACAATCACCCGTACTCTACACCAGCCCATAACGGAATGATGAGAATAGGATTTTACCAACATAGTACTACAAGTGCCAGGCTATCCCTACCATGCCTGGACAAGGATTCCACTGGAACGCTCAGAAAAGGCTTGATGTTCAACATCCAGGTTAGCTGGATAAGGGCAACGGTGGGGCTTTTGTTCTGAGAACAGATGAACTAAACAATAATATAAACAGAAGGGGCTAGAGAGATGGTTCTGCAGTGAAGAGCACATGCTACTCTTGCTGAGGACTCAAGTTCAGTTCCCAGCACACACATCTGGAGGCTTACAACCACAGGTGACTCCAGTTGCAAAAGATCCAACAGCCTCTTCTGACCTCTGAAGGCACTAGGCATGCAACTGGTACATAAATATATATGCAGGCAAACACTCATAGACATAATTATAAAAACTAATTTCCTTTAAAAAGAAAAGGATTTTTCATTGACTTACCTTCTGTTCCAGTTCATTTTTTCGATAATTAATAGTGATGGAGTAATAATGTCTGTTTAATCCATGAATTAATGCCTATAGGAACAATTTTTAAATGATAAATTAATCTTTCACCTAATCAAATACAAATGTTTGAAACTGTTGACATATCTTCCACACCATTTTTATTTATTTAAAGACAAAGTCTTACTATGTAGCTCTGTCTGGCCTGAAACTCACTATGTACACTGGGCTGATCTTGAACTCACAGAGATCTGCCTGCCTCTGTCTTGGAGACCTGGGATTAGCGTCTGAATGACCACCATGTCCAGCTTAGTTGGTAAAAGCCCTTGCTACCAAGCCTGACAACCTAAGTTCAGTCTCTAGGACCACATGGTACAAGGAGAAAACCGACACATGAAGTCCCCATCCCACAACACAAAAGAAGTAAAATGTAATCCATTTTTAAATAAAGTTATTATAAATACAGAGTAAATTAAAATATTTTCTCTGCTACAAGCTTACGACAAAAGTTTAAAGGACTAGTGACAAATTCTTCAAAGCTTTGCCTTGCACAAAGCCCAGAGCAAAAAAAAAAAAAAAAAAGGTTGAACTCAACATAACCTGTTACAAACCAATTACCCACAATTTATTGTCTTAATCTTGTGGTGTTTAGGAGGGAGTTTGCTATTTCAGAAGAAAAGTCTAAAACTCTGTAATGGTACATGTTTCTCCATCCACATCAATCTTGGGCTTCCTTTTTTGTTAACTCAATTTTCACTAATTCAAAGACTTGTGTCCAGGCAAGTCTCCAAATCAGCAATGAGGAAAGTAGGTAGGTGTCTATGTGTGTACTAATTTACATGCGTGCTCATATATTTGTGTGCCCTTGCATGTAGAGACCTAAGGCCAACTTCAGGAGTCTTCCTTGACTTCTCTCCACCGTAATTATTAAGACAAGCTTCAGTTACTAAACTTGGAGCTTATAGATTGTGTTCTGCTGGTTGTTGAACGCGCTCTTCTGGGATCTGCCTGCCCTAGCTCAGTGCTGGGGTTACAGATGCACACTGCCTGGCTTTTTACTTTACCTCATTTCTGTCAAGTGTCCACAGCACACACTCACCAACTGAGCCACCTGTTGAGACCCAGAAGCTTTTCTTTACTCTTCATTCACCTTACTCACATTCTCAATTCAGTGACAAGAAATCAAATCCTCACTTATCATAATTTATTTTCACTGTACTTAATCTCGAAGATAAATAGGCCAATCACAACAAAAACTTAAGCTATTTATAGGGAGGAAACCGAATAGTATTGCTCTGCTAAAGGAATGTACAACCAAATGATTCCCAACAACTGTCTGCTATACCCACAGGTCAGTGTCTCTCTCAACTATCATCAGAGAAGCTTTGTCTTGCAGAGGATGGGAACTAATACCAACACCTGGACAAATGGACAATGTGCCGAGTGAGAGACCTTGGAACACTCAGGGAACAACGTGTACGAGGAGGCAGAAGGATTGTAAGAGCCAGAGGGGATGGAAGACACCAAGGAAGCAGTGTCTTCCAGACACCACAGGACTGACACACACATGCACATATGAACTCAAGACTGAGGCGGTACATACAAGGGATGCACAGACCCAAGAGAGACAGGGTCCCAGTGCTGAGAGGGCAAAGTATGCACAGGCTCCCATCCTAACCAAGAAGCTATCTCCACCTGACAACCACTTGCAAAGGAACTAGTTTTCCCCAGTGAAAGCTCACTGGGCATACAAATCACACATAAATCAGGGCAGGCCCCATGCTCAGCAAGCAGTACATAACCAATTTTGTAGTCTGTTATTTGTCTCAGATTGCTTTGTTTGGGAATTTTTCTTTTTTAATCTTACAGGTCTTTTGCTTGTATATTATGGTTCCCAATTATGTGCTTTGTTTGTGTGAATGTGTGTTTCTTAAGCTTTTTCTTTTCTCTTTTTTTTTTCTTTTATTTATTTTTTTTGCCAGTCTTCTAAAGAGGGCTTGGAGCTGGGTGGGTGGGGAGGATCTGGAAGCAGATGGAAGAGGAGAAACAGTGATTAGAATATACTGTAGGAAAAAAATAATTATTTTCAATTAAAAAAGTGAAAATAACTATGTTATATACTGCTTAAGTATCTAACTCTCTAGCAACATAAGTTCAACTGTGGTTCACAACAATATTCAAGAAACCTACAAAAAAAACCACCATTCGCCTCCTAAGACACAAAGGCATAGAATTATAATTTATAATTTTTAAACAACTGTAAAAAAAAAATAAAAAAGATTTGGGGTGAACTGTAGGGAAATAAAGACAGAGATAACCAAATAACCAGCACTTTCTAATTAGGGTTTTTACAGTCTAAGTCTTAAAAGTGCTGAGACAGAGGGGCAGGGTAGGAAAGTGAGTATCTGATGATTGCCTTGCATGTGCTTTGCATCCCACACATTCTAATGCAACAATCTATGTGTACATGACAGATGAGTAAAAACAAGGACATGAACTCTTAATCTATCCTAATTAATAGCTAATAAAAGATAGCACTGAGGATTTGAGGCCAGATCACTGACTCCATACCCCAAGTCCATTCTGATGTACTGTGCTACAACACAAGCTCTGGTACGACTAAGGCTACATAGTTTAAGAATAGTCTTATTTTAAAGATTTACTGGCAAAAAACAAAAAAAAATCACTACATAAAAATTAAAATTTAAGTATTAAATTTAAAATTAAGTATTAAAACACTTGATATTTCCTGGGATAATTAGTCTCACATTACTAATCTCTTCTATAAAAGTAACCTATAAAGACAATAGGAAGCAGTAGTAAATTTCAAATAGTTGGTATATGAAATTTAGCCACTAAGAGAACTTATTAAATCCTAATCCATTTTCAATAATTAACTACCAGAAGTAGTAGATCACCTTTCACTGAATAAAAATGCTGTACTGTACAGATCAGAAAGTGGAACTAATCAGGGATTCCCTAAACCTGAACTTACCCTTGCATGCATCAGTAGGTCTACCTTCTGGGTGGAGATTCAGGTAAGTATGGAAAGTTCTCAAAGTAAACACAGTCTGACTGGAGAGTGGAACTTGCGTTTCACTGTTCATCCTCCAAGGATCTTTGTGCAGTACACTAACTGCACTAACTAATCTACATGGTGCCAAAACTAACAATGGTTCTGACCAGAGGCCAATCACTGAATTCACAGACAGGCCTACATTTTAAAGATTAATCACCAGTGCCAATGAAATAAACAACATGGAGTTTGGTGGCACTATTTGGTTTTCGATTTTATTAGATAAACATAGTAAAACTTACCACAAGCACCATGAAAGATGAGCAAGTACATGATAAGACAAATATAGCTAACAATCTTCCAACTTTACTAACTCATCTATTTCACACCCCCAGGGTATTCATCCCAGATCGCAAACTCAAACAGAAGGAAGACTGTACATAGCAGTGGATTTCAACCTTCCTAATATTGGACCTTTAATCCTGTTCCTCACGTTGTGGTGACCCCCAACCATAAAAATATTTTCTTTGCTACTTGATAACTGTAATTTTGCTACTGTTATGAATTGTAATGTAAATATCTGTGTTTTTGGATGGTCTTAGGTGACCCCCATGAAAGGGTCATTTGACTCCGCAAAGGTGTGGTAACCTACAGGATGAGAACCACAGGTACAGATCCAGTGTATTTACGGTTAACCTCCATACATCATCTGCTGTAGACATAGCAGGTATTTTATCAATCAGTTTGCTGGACATTACAGCACATGCTTGTAATCCCAGCACTCAAGTAGTTAAAGCAGAATTCTGGATTTGAGGCTACTCTGGGCTACCTGGAGCCAGGTCAGCCTGGATACATAATGAGACTGTCTCAAAACAAAACAAAGCATCACACAAGTCACATATGAATTGTGCCAAAATTTATTTAATTAAATTCCCAACTATAATATAAAAGAATGAGAAAACCTAGCAGTTCTTGCATAAATTAACTCAAGCAGCTCAGTTTTCTGGGCTCAGCTGCCTCATCTAGAAAATATTCCAGGGCCGTTATAATCGTTTCACTGCTGTTGTTTCACAACTGTGTTTTATAATTAGTGAAAACAATGTTTTCAAATACTTCATTGCAAAACGTAAGCACGCTGAGGGCTACACTTCAGAGATTGAAAGCCCAGTGCACGGATGGGGCACCAATGTTTACTAACTGTCCAGAAGGACGACAACTCCAAGATCTAGTGTGATCACTTACGAACCTAAAGCACCAAAAAGCCAACAAGTTTTTAATGGGATACTTTAAAAATTTAATTGTTAAAATAAAGACTGCCATTTCTAAACTGACAATAATAGTCAAGTGTTCCGGGTAAAAACGAATGTCGTTTCTTGTGTTAGTACAGAAGCCAGCAGCACGGTTTTACGTATTACACTCTGTACTCCCTTAGAGCAATGGCTTTCCTGACAGTGAAAATAGAGTTGACCGTTAACTACTTCAATATTGCCATGAGCACTTAAAAACTATTTTCTTGGGACTGAAGAGATGGCTCAGAGGTTAAGAGTACCTGTTATTTTTGCAGAGGACCAGGCTCAGTTCCCAGCATTCATATGGTGGTTCACAACCATACAAAACTACATACAGTTCCAAGGAATCTGATGCCCTCTTCCAACCTTCATGGGCACCAAGCATACATGTGGTACACAAACATACATGCAGGCAAAACACTCACACATAAAATACATAAAACACACATAAAATATTGTTTTGTAAAAATATTGTTTTACTGTAGAAAGTTTTAAAAAATATAGATAAGGAAAACTCCATTATTTTACTACGTAGAGATAATCAAATCCAACATCTTGGTATAAACACATAGGTCCAAGTTCTAAACCATGGACTTACTAAACGGAGAACTTGTATATTCCGTAACTGTTACATCGTTGACAATGTGATCACAATATTCTCCTGCGTCTCTAAGTACAATAGGCACACCAGCACCGGGGAACCATCAATGACTTCCGGAGTGTACACTAGTGACTGCTGTCAGGCTCCGACCACTTACTTCTACGTTGTCTTGGGAACAAGTTCCCTCTTAACACAGCTAACTTTCCCTTCAAGATAAAGGCATGGGATTTCTGAAAGGTTTCTATTACCAACTTAAAATATGTGACATACAGACATTCAAATTCTATTATGGACTTTCTACCTAGCTTGTCTTACAAAATTACATTATTTTAAGGTGAGTCCCTTTTTGGCTTAATCCCATTTGAGAGCCTTAGTGTCGAAATTGTCTTAAAACTGTAAAGCACCCACATAGATGCCATTCTGATGGGCACTACATAAACTGTAAAATAAATATATTTACAGATTCTAATTGGGATGCAAGACAAATTTAAAATGATAGGAAAATGCCACTTTTTAACTAAGGCTTGAAAACTGTTTCAAAAGTTCCATTTTTAATTCCAGATAGAAGGCATGATTAAATACTACCAAGTGGATTAGTACGAAAGAAACAGATTTCAATATCAATTCTGTCTTTTAAGTTAAAAGGCAGCATTTAAATTTAAAAAGGGAAAATATGCAACAGGTAGCTGGCGACTTGCAATTAGTAAAAACTTCTGGCAGAAATATACCATGTAGTAATCACAATGATTCTAGATTGTGAGATGCGATTTAACCTTTTGTAGAAAATAATGAAGCAGGATGATGCTATGGGGGTGTATGAGAAAGGTCATTATCATGGGCTAAACAGACCCAATAATATATTCTCTTGGAACATGCAAGTATGGGCTTGTCTGTGCCCAATCAAAATCACTGGTAGCTTATTTCATACTCATTATTCTCTGTAGTTCCCCCAACTCGTTAAAAATTTTTTTTTCCAAAAGCAACATACCTCAGTTCTTTGAGACAAAACGTTTCACTGTGATGAAGAGTTCAAGTGAATGACAACAGCAAGTGTCCAGAAATACAAAGTTACCAATGATAACCAAGGCTAGACCTTGGTGAACTGTTAACGCCACAACTCCCCAAAGAAAACCTTGAGGCAAAACAAGGTTTCGGAGGGGGAATAGCAGTAGCTACTATAATGTCTTTGTCCTGAGTGTCCTATGCAATCAAACATGGTATTTTTGTCCTATTAATTAATCTTTAGAGAAATAATTACCTACACAGACACAGACTGTGCATTTAAAAACACATTTAACATAATTTCTTACAGACAATAAAGGCTTGTGTTTAAACAATGAAGCATGTGAACGGAACAAAGAAAACAAGAACCACTCAAATGGATATGAAGTGTCCGAACACCAAACAACTACTCTAACAGTGGTTGACAGCACTACACAAAGAAAATACAAACTTACCACAAGTGATGATTGTATGTGTCTAACAGAATTAACCAAAGATGAGGATAAAGCAAAAAAGGTAGAAAGACTTAAGCATTACCTAAGAGCTGTTTCTTGTGACCTCTTAAAATACATTGCCTGTTTTTCCTCTACTTTTTTTTTTTTGCTCTGAAGACTGTTTAGAAACCAATATAGGTTAGCTAACTGTTCCCACCCAAGACTTCTACTGCCACCCGCCCCTGCCACTCTTCGATACTAACTAGATACAAGTGTAGACCAGGCTGGCCTCAAACTCAGAGAGATCCACCTGCCTCTGCCTCCTGAGTGCTGGGATTGAAGGTGTGTACCACCTGGCTCATCTTTTCTTGCTATATCAAGAAAAAAATTATACACACACACACACACACACACACACACACGAGTTTTGTCCTGTTACACAGGCTAAATTCACATTTACAGCCTCAAAAGAAGCTGGGATGCTCTTTTAAAACATTAACAATAAAAGACTGCTTATAAGAAAATTAAAATGATTAAGAATTAGATCTTCCAATGATGACAGCATATTTAAACATAAAATAGTTTTAACCCGTTACCAATACAGTCATTACCTGGATAGATGGCTTGTTTAAGTGACCCAGATTTGAAGTCGTTTGTCTTGGTTCATGTCCTAAGACCATCATATTAGCATTGATCAGTCTGAAGGCATCAATAACAACCTGTAAAACAAGGTGTCAAGTCAATTCTTTTTAAAAACAAGTCATGGTGCCAAGCAACAGTGGACAAGGCAAGATCAACTTGCATCTGTTTCTGGCCTATTTCCAGAAAATCATTTAATTATAATATTAATAAAAAGAACCTCCTGCTGATCGTGCCATCAGTATACCACCCTCTATCTTGTAATGTAAGGTGACACCAATTATTGTGATTTCCATGAAGCAGCAAAATATTAACTTAGTGTCTTTATTATTAAAAACACGTCATTACTAAGCATACATCAAATAACCTTCCTTGTTGTGCTTACTTGTTTCCTAAAATTTTCCTAGTCAAAATGAATGACAGGGAAAGGAAAACTGAAAGTGAGCACAAGCTAAGGGACTACATCTAAGACCCAGCCCTGTCACATCAATTACGCCATCACAGTACTTGAAATGACAACAAAATTGCAGCCAGCACGTCACTTGCCCATGTATTCTCTACTAGTCAGATACCCTTTACTTCTTCTGACTCTGAAATACTTTATATCTTGTCTGATGGCTTTAAACATCCAATCCACTGCCAAGCCTAGGAGGCACAATATAAGAAAACCAAGGTCACCCATGCTTTCAGACAGAAACAATATAACATGGTTGTAAGTTCACAGAAAAGAAACTGTTCTTTCATAACCCAGTATCATGTTAATTAGCTCTTACATCAAGAGATTAAGCAAGAATCAGCTATTTCTCACTATCATATTGCTGACATGCTTATAGTAATCATTAAATTTGAAAGAACTTAAAAGAATGTGAAGTTTTAGGTAAAACCATGTGATACTAAGGCAGACTGCCTCTTTCCAAGACAATCTTGAAACAAGACTTGAAAATATAGTATTTCTTGATTTACTTTTAAAAGTATTAACAACCAAGACTATCAGTGTTTTATAAAAGTCACTATTATCTGGATTTGTTTTCAGTTATACAACTTGTTTCAGTACACTGAATTATTAAAAACTATTATTTTCAAGTTAAACCAACTGCAATATAATGAGGTATAAAAAGCTATCTTAAAGGCTTCTTAACCAAGCCTGGTAGTGCACCCCCCCCCGCCCCTTTATTTTTGTTTTTTGAGACAGGGTTTCTCTGTTTAGCTTTGGAGCCTGTCCTGGAACTCACTCTGCAGATCAGGCTGGCCTTGAACTCACAGAAATTGGCTTGCCTCTGCCTCCCAAGTGCTGGGGTTAAAGGCATGCGCCACCACCGCCTGTCGATAGTACGTGCCTTTAATCCCAGCATTGTGGAGGAGGCAGAGGCAGGCAGATGTCTGTGAGGTTGAAGCCAGCCGGAGTTACATGGTGAAACCCTGCCTCACACAAAGAAGTGTTTCTACCCACTGTGACAAGTCTAAAGGTTACAGTCACAGCAAACATAACATGACACCAACACATTAAACAAGACAGTATAAGGTCTTTGTAAACTTCAGATGTCCTAATAGTGATAATAATAAGTTTTAATGTTGCTTTCAATTCTTGTGGTCTGAATTGTTCCCAAAATTCGTTCCTTTTGCTTCAAAGCCAAGTATTTAATCATAACCCTACACAACTGTTCTTAACTATTAATGGTAAATATAAGACAGCAAATAATCAGTTTTGTTTCAACTGCTTTATGATTCCATTCTTGGAGTTCAGTAAAAATCATTTCTAGGAAAAAATTTCACAAACTATGGAAATTTCATATTATATCCCAATGAAAGGCTTACATACGTTTTTATACCAACTGCTTTCGAACTAAAACATTAGACAGCAATTTTCATGCAAAAATGTGTCATTTCTATGGAATATTATAAAAGCAGGTGTGAAATATCATAAAAGAAAATGAAAATGCCAGTTAGGTCATAATTAGGTAGGTATCATGATCTATTTTTAACCCTGAATTTTTTTTTAAAGTATTACAACAATGCTTTAAGAATTTAATGTTGTTCAACTAGTCAATTATGACCCATATGAAATGACATGTCCAGATTGGCAGTTCCTGAGCAACAATAAAATGATTACACTAAGATTAAAGGAATTTTCTGCCATCGCTATAGCAACTGTCTTGAGGAAACTAACATGTTCAAAAACCTGCAGACCAAAATTAGATTTAGCATGCAATAAAAAAATAAATATGGCAATATATTCCACATTTTAATTTCTGTACAATTTTATAATTGCCTTTTCTGCTGTGAGAATAAGTGGATTTTGCCTTTAGAACAACCTATCAAAATAGACTCATTAATGTCCAGTACACTAATGAGCAATGGGTGAAGAAGGTGTTAATTATGCCACAGTAAGATTCAAAAAAAAGCCCTAGTGAGAACTTGGAGGTGTGTTTAAGCTCAGGGCGTTTCCCCATGTTTGTGTATTTACAGAATGATGCAACAGAATGACAGCAAAGTGGTCACTCCACAGTTAGGAAAATAAATCCAACATGCAACATACTAAACAAAGAACCTCCAAGACACGGAAGGGAGGCGGGGAAGAAGGAGTAATCCATTCTTAAAGCATCCTGCTGTTTTCATGGCTCACTTTGAATATGTATACATGAAACCAGTTTGTTTTGTGCACCTCAAAATTTTAAAAAAGAAACAAAGACTGCATCAAAATCACCTCCTCATAGCAACAATAACCTCCACACTGAAGGATGAAAAATAAAAAATTCCTGTCCATGTTGAAGCCCTGCAAACCCACTGAATCTCTATTTCCCAGCCTGACCAGTTAATTTTTTCTGGTACAAGTGCCTTGAGACTTTTCAGAGGTCACCGCAACAGTAGACAGCTTATAACAAAACCATTAGCAGTTTGGCTAGCTTAGGGAAACCTCTTACTTTCCTTTTTTTGTTTATTATCACTGCATGAATCTGCAGCATATGATAGTTTATAATTTCTCAGGCTTGTTAAATTCATGTTAAAGGTCTGTTTTCTTGTTGAATAAATTTTGTTCATATAATGCTGCCTATTTCATACACTCAGTCTTTAATAGCACCTTTGGTCTATGCGCAACTCACAGATCAAAACAGAGGACTAAAATAGGGGTTGATGATGCTATTTACATGTGTGATTCCTGCTGTCTTCTTGTTAGTAGCTTTAATATAATAGAAGACCTTGTCTGTTTTGTAATTAACACATCTTTACTGGAGAGATATTTGGAAGTGATTGCTGTGAATATACTGGTTAGTAAAATAAACACAATCACACACCACTTTCTGTTATCAGACAAATTTGTGAATTGTACACATTATACTCCAGATCAACAAACTGTGATATAACAGCCAAGTAGAAGACACATATTTATATAACCCTTTATTTTTCTGAAAATATGTATTCACTCTGACCTTGCAAATATAATTAGCTGTGGGATGTGCAGACTTCAGTACCATGGTTGCTTTACTAATTGCAACTCTTGGAAATAGATACTAAATATTTGGAAGCTGCCAATACAAAATAAAAACTGCATCTTTCTTGTACATCTGTCTTAGCTTACAAAAGCAAAATAGTTTTAAAAACAATGCTGAGTTCCATGTTTATTCCAAGCACACCCAAGGGTCAAGGACCTATCATTTCATTTTAATGATGAATCTGGCTTAGGATTTAAGCTCTAATTATTTTCAAATTCATTTTAATCCATGTTTTTTTTTTAACTTCTTCCATGAGTATACCACAGTTCATTCTACATGCTATTTTTTAACCCATGTTTCCCTAGGTCACTAAAAGAGCAGACTAAATTTCTAAAGCATCACACTACAATCCCAATTTTTACATTCAAAGGAAGCTCTTTTTTCTTTAAGCAACACTCCACATAATTTAATGAAAAGTATTTTACTGCAGATATACTCTGGCAGTGGTTCCTGCCAATGCCTCTCCTCCACCTCCTCTCATTGGAGCTTCCAGTGGCATTTCTAACCGCACTTACACTGAAGTCAACGACCAATGGAAGTGTTTCAGAAATACACAGCAAAAGAAAGAACTGATATTAAAACATCTATAATGCATTCACTTTCTTGAGCTTAAAGAGTTAGGAGATGTAAATAATCAGGATCTTCCATAACTATACAGGTCAGCCTAAGACCTATACCTAGAAATAAATGAATAAATAAAAAATAAGACTAAAATCGATGCTAAATACTTAAAAAAAAAAAGAAAAGAAAAGAAAGAAAAAGGAAGAAAGACACCACAGTGAGCAGCAGGGTTACATATTTAAAGCATGTAACGCTAGTGACATACAGACCCATCTCTAAATCACTATGAAGATGAGAAGCATGAGGAGAAGGGCAGCAGCACACCAAACACTGCTGCCTGGAAACAGCCTGTTATCGACTGCTTAGTTTGTTTCTAGATTCTTTAAAAATTAAGAATGAATGATGTGACCTGGGAAATACTGAGGAGGTTTGTGACCATTTTGTTACTTCTGCTGCTGTGCACTGCCATGCGTCTATAAGATAAAAACATTTTCTGTCTCTTGCAAGCCCACAGCATAAAAAATTCAGAGATATCTTACTTTTTATGCCATTTCCAATGAAAAGCACTAAGAACTAAAACTGACTCATGCCAAATGCATATCACTGAATTGCTGTGATTTCTTGGTCTCAAGTTTGAAACATGGAAATTATTTATAAAATGTCAATTTTAGCTCTGGAAAAGAAATTCCTATGTGAATGTACAGTTCTTTCTTCATCCTCAGAGAATTGCTTACTGTAGCTGCAGATCTGTACTACAATTTCAATATACTGGGGGAGAATAGGGATGGGGCAGAACTAGCATAATGTACTTTGCTGACAAGTGAAGACATGCATCAAAATTCAAAGAGTTAAATCCACAAGTTTCAAACATATATCCCTTAATGAAAACAAATCAATTTTTAGAAACTAGCATGGCAAAGGTAATTAGACATTTCTAGATCACGAAACATTATGAAAAGAATATACTTAAGTCATAAAAGGAACTTTTTAGTATATGCATATAGTCGGCATAGTATAGGAGCATGAGT